GGTTGGCCACTCCCTCAATCTCCCCAGCACATCCTATAGGCAGTACAGATTGTAGGTAGAAGGTTATGTAGCTGGGTTCGTTTCCTACTCCCTCCACTTGAAGTCTTGCCTGGTCACAGAAGATGGCCAGTTCAGGCTACATATCCACTGTTGCTAGAAATCTTAGCTTGGGTCATCCTTGTATATTCCTGGGAGATTCCTTTGCACCAGGTTTTTACCTGATCCCCCAAATGCCCCTGTTTCCAGTAGTCTCTTTCAGTACTCTCCCTCTCTGTCCCCCCAACCTGATCAATCATGTTCCTATCCCCACTCACCCATAGTCCACTCAAGAAATTGCTTTTACTTCCCCTTCACAGGGAGATCTGAGTGTCCCCCACGCTGAACTCTCCGTGTTACCTAGTCTCTCTGGGTCTGTGGATTGTACCATAGTTATACTTTATTTTATAGCAAATATCCACATATGAGCTAGGACATACCATGTTTGTCTTTCTTGGTTGTGTTATCTCACTCAGGATGATTTTTTCCAGTTCCAACAATTTGCCTTCACATTTCCTGGTGTCCTATTTTTAACAGCTTAGTAATACTCCATTGTGTAAATGTACCACATTTTTTATCCATTTTTTTTGTTGTTGAGGGACATCTGGGTTGTTTCCAGTTTCTGGCTATTAAAGATAAAGCTTCTATGAACATAGTTGAGCAAGTGTCCTTGTGGTATGGTTGAGCATCTTTTAGATCTATGCCCAAGAGTAGTATTATTGGGTCTTGAAGAAGATTGATTCCCTATTTTCTGCGAAACCACCATATTGATTTTTAAAGTGGCTATGCAAGTTTGAACTCCCACTAGCAGTGGAGGAGTGTTCCCTTGCTCTACATCCTCTCCAACATAAGCTGTCATTTGTGTTTTTGATCTTAGCCATTCTGAAATATATAAGATGGATTCATTTTGATTTATATTTCCCTGATGGCTAAGGATGATGAACATATGTTAGCATTTCTCTGCCATTTGAGATTCTTCTATTGAGAGTTTTCTGTTTAGGTCTGTACCCCATTTTTAAATGGGTTATTTGGTTTTCTATGTCTAGTTTCTTTAGTTCTTTATATATTTTGGAAATCATCCCTCTGTTGGATGTGGGGTTGGTGGAGATCTTTTCTCATTCTGTAGGCTACCATTTTGTCCTATTGACAGTGTCCTTTGCCTTATAGAAACTTCTCAATTTCATCTTGATGTAACTTTAACTAAGCAAGTGAAAGAGCTGTATGACAAGAACTTCAAGTCTTTGAAGAAAGAAATTGGAGAAGATATCAGAAGATGGAAAGATCTCCCATGCTCATGGATCAGTAGGATTAACATAGAAAAAAATGGCCATCTTACCAAAAGCAATCTACAGATTCAATGTAATCCCCATTAAAATCCCAACACAATTCTTTACAGACCTTGAAAGAATAATACTCAATTTCATATGAAAAAACAAAAACCCAAGATAGCTAAAGCAATCCTGTATAATAAAAGGACTGCTGGAGATATCATTGTCCCTGATATCAAGCTGTACTGCAGAGGTATAGTAATAAAAAACATATGGTATTGGCATAAAAACAGATAGGTGGATCAATGGAATTGAATCAAAGGTCCAGACATAAATCCACATACCTATAGGCACCTGATTTTTGACAAAAAAAAGCCAAAATTATACAATGGATGAGGCAAATTTTGAAGGGAGGCTATTCATGCTACATGGAAACAGTTCACAATGCCACTAGCATGACAGATCTCCTGCTGTCAACACTGCTGCTGCTACTTAAATGGAAGTTATTCTGGTCACTATTCATTTTCCCCATTTAACAAAACTCTCATCCCTACATGGAAAGATTTGAAGTTCTATGCTAGGGAACACATTTTTTATCACTACGGGGAGATGACTGATTTTTAGTAACTAAGTCAAGTGCTCCTATGAGGCTGAAAGATTTGTATTAATGTATATACTATTCAAATGGAAATACTTGATACAATAAACCACATAGATCCTCCTTGTTTGCCATCTGATTTAAAATTGTCCTCAATTCATTACCCAAGAACCCATCAAGATGTGCTTTCAGACTTTCTCTCAGATTCAGTACATCACACTTTTCAACTTCTATTACTAGTACATTTTCCACACAAGGGGAGTATTATACACTAAAAATATTAGAGGACTGTCTCCTTCTGTATCAAAGATTTTATCTACTAACATAAATATCTTGAGTATCATTGCTCTTAGTATTATTATGACTATCATTTATCAGTAAAATTCCAAAAAAGCTGAATGTTAGCTTTCCATACTTCGTGGATCTGCCAGGGCCTCAGCTATGACATCTTCAGGAGACACATGTGGTTTCCTGTGTTTAATGCCTGTAGAAATGATCATTAATTTGTCTTACAACACTTACTGTTTAATGAGTGTTGATCAATCTTTTACAGTGTGCTTACTGCTGTTTGGTCTAAGTGAGTAAATGCATTTTCTGTGTGTGTGTTTTTAAGATTGTCTGATTTTGTGCCTCTCCTTATATTGTTTCACTTATGCTCTCAAATTTCATAGTTGCTTGGATAATAACTCACATGATACTCTATGATGGAGCAGCTGGATGGACCTGATTTGACACCTTCACTCTTCCCAGGGACAGAGATGTCATTGGTTATCTAATGAATATGGAGACCCTTCTGTATGACTGGAGGCTGAGTGCTCTGCAGCTGTGGCCAGGTGGATGTTTCCCACTAGAATTTGAACATTCTGGAAGCTTAGTGGGATCTCAGAGATCAACTCTTGCATGTGAGCTCCTCTTTACTCTACTCTCATTTGAAAGCTTCTCTAATTGTCCCACTTGACTAAATGTTTTGTGGACAGGGGTGGTGTTTTACTCACTATATGTAGTTTGATATGCACATTGTAGTGACCCTACTCAAAACATTAGCTTTAATGCTGTGTTCTAACCAGGTGTAGAATTTTGACCCTAGTTTAACACCTTTGGACAAGTGACTTTTCTCTTTACTGTAACAAAGCATTGGGAAAAAAAACAACTTTAAGAAAGGAAGGATTTATTTTGGCTCATGGTTTTTAGCCTTTTATTCTTGGGAGACATGATGGAGTTCCTAACAGCTGGTGTTTATGGTAGAGCTTTCTTGTATCATGGTGGATCAGGAAGTCCCCATGGCCTGATCTTCATGGCTCGTATCTTCCACGTAGGTATAAAGGTTCTAAAGGTTTCACAACCTGCCAAAACTATACCACCAACTGGGAACAAGTTTTCAAAGAGATGAGCCTATCAGGACATTTCATATTTAAAATATAATGGTATTAAAAATGGTCCAGGATAGATATATCCCACATATATTTACATATATTTGATGTAAAAAGGCAAATATATATGCAAATAAGATTCTATATGTATGTTATATGTAAGTGTTTACATGTTCCTGTGTTTGTGCAGGTGGGTATGCAGGGGTGAGTACACATTCAGGTAGAGAGCAAAAGTCAATGTTGAGTATCTTTCTCTTCTTTCTGTATTTTTGAGATTAATTTTATTATTTTTACTTGCACTTATGTATATGTCTCTGCGTGGGTATGTGCTGGTGGTAACAGAGGGCAAAGGGATCATTAGATCCCATCAAATGGTTGTGAGCCCCAATAGCTGGATGCTGGAAATTGAACTTGGGTTCTCTGGAAGAGTAGTATGTGCTTTGAACCCCCCCCCCAGCCATCTCTGAAGCCCCTCCATCTTTCTGTGACAGGGTCTCTTACTGTACCTGGAGCTCATCAGAGTGGTGGACCACAGAGCCTCCAGAATCATCCTGTGCCCCATACTGTGCTAGGATTGCTGGCTCACACCACCACACCTGGCATGCCACATGGACATGGGGATCAAACCCAGGCCCTCCTGCTTGTGTAGCAAGCATTGTACCAACAAAATGGTTACTTTAACATTCATTATACTGTAACATTGTCAACTTGGAAAGCAGAATAATTTTATTTTAATCTCACAAACCTAAATAGTCTCTAGAATGTTTTAGGGATTGTTAATATATTTGTACATCACTTATTGATGATAATACATTCTAAAAAGTATTATTAGGTGGTTTGAGCATTGTGTTATTATCACAAAGTTTATCTATACTAACCCAGGTGATATAGTTTGATCACTCTGTGTGTCCTCAGTGCCAGTAAGAGACTTGGTAATCATGGGGGTGTGAGGCTTCTCATGCACATATTCCATGTCACCATCTCTGCCTCTTCTTTGATTTGGATGTGTTGGTGTAGTCTCTTATACACATATATTTTGTGCTGAATTTAGTAATGGACTCAATGACTTGCTGGCCCCAGTGTCCTCTCTATTGAATGCTATTGGAAGCTACTGAGAAATGTTTCACTTGTTCCTTCCTCTATGCACTTGACCCCTAATGAGTTATAACCTGCCACTTCTCTATCATCTTCACTCCTTTCTTGTCGTCTCTGTACTGGCTGACATTATTCTCTTCGGAAATTAAAGCCCATTGTGCCTGTTTTCTCCAACACCTCTGTTGAATCCGGCAAGTAACTTTCATTGGCAAACACATAAAGCATTTACAGAGAGTCACTGTTGAGTGACCATGGATTAGACCAGAGGAAGGACCCTGGGTTCAAATACCCTGCTCCCTCACACCTGAGTCAACGTGAGCTGTGCTGTGACCTCTGCTATGTCACACGGCCTCAGAGTTCTCCAGAGCATGGAGATGCTGACCCTTGTGAGCAACAAATGGAATTTTTATGGGAGTGTTTTTAAATCCTATGACAGCTTTGTCAAGAGAAAGGTTTAGTTAAATATTGAGCAGGTAAAACAACCATGCTGTAGCTAATAACAACAGTAGTGAAGAGAAGAAATTTTAGAATGTAAATGAAATTTTAAAATATTCAAAAAATATATATATATATTCATGAATATATGAATGAAGTATAATAGGGTAAAGGAAAATATGCTATAAAGGAACAATGGCTGTTTATAAAGATTTAATGAATCTTTGAATTAAGGCTTACACATATGGTATTCATCAGTGTGTATCTGTATTAGTTACTTTTTTCATTACTGTGGCAAAATACCTGAAAAGCAAATAAAGAAAGGAAGAATTTATTTTGGTTCATAGGTTGAATATCTAGTCCATCATGGTGGGGAAGACATGGGGCAGGAGCATAGGCAGCTGGACACATTACATCTGTGGTCAGGAAGCAGAGAGAAATGTTGGTGCTCGTCTCTCTTCTTATTCAGTCCCAGATTCTAGCTAGAATCATCCACATTTTGGGTGAGTTTTTGCACCTCAGTTAACCCAACCTAGAATCTCCCTTCTGTGTTCAGACACATTCCAAGGTTTACTTTCATAGTGATTTTGAAGCCAGGGAGTTAGACCCTCCCAGACAGTCAGGATGTGGTTCTGAGCCAAAGGTTTCTGTTTGCTTACTATAGCTGAACACATCCTGATTCCTTCAAAAACTATAGAGGTGCTAACAGTACTCTGATTGCTTACAGTCCCTCCACCCTTTTCAAAGGCCCCTTTTAAACACACAAGTAAGCCAGGCAGCAGCAACCCGCTTTAGGGACCTGTTCTGTTGAGCTGGAGCTCTGGTGAGCATAAGGCCTTTGTATCAATCTCACCATCACTCTGTCCTACTCCTGACGCTTACCAAGCTTCTTGTCTTTGCCCTCACCTGTTGTTTGTGGATTTAATTTGCTGATGTCGTGAAATGTGAAGCCAGTGTTGATCTCTGGTGTTGGGACCTTGTGGTGCCTCCAAGGTCTTCTGACCACAGTATCACACATCAAGGAGAACTTGGGTTTGAATTCTAAATCACAGTAAGTGGATGATAGAAGGTAACATCACAACATGGCAATAGGAGGCTGCTCTCCCATTCTTGGGCTGGAAGTACAGCTGGCTATGGAGAAAGAGAAAGCTAGTAAGCACGGAACTGGAAAGATGGTAGAAGGCTAGTGTTCCCCCTTCCTGTGAATCTCCATATACTCAGTCCCCCAAACTCTTCTTATGGAACTGAATTTGAGCACATCCAACAAATGTGTGTGGCACTAGAATGGTGGGACACTAGGACTCATAGAAACAGTGGGGCCAGCTCACTTCAGCTCGGGAGTATGAAACTCAAACGGTTATCTTGCCACCTACCCTGGCCCCTGCATTTGAAATTACAACTTCAGTTTTCCCCACCCCACTGCTCTTGATTCATGTCTTGCCAATACCCAAACCCTGGCACATTTTTGAAATTCAACTACTAACAGAAGTTATATGTAACATGCACAAATCAATCATCTTTAACCCTGACTTTACTTTTTTTTCCTTACCAATTTAAATTGGCTTCTGGGAATCTTAAGCTACATTTACCATTTACCATTATTAAATACAACCCAATAATGATCCTGCTTGCATGCTGACTGTTTCTGAAACATTGTTTTCATTTCATGCAGAATTATAGACACCCTGCTCACTATATATTTAGGCCAAGCAGGCTCATTTTAATGGGTGGCCATTAGCTTTGCCTTCAGGGGAAGATTTATTTTTTATTTACACTTGCTGCTATGAGAAAAATGAGCTGCACAGGTTAAGGGTGATTGATGATGGCATTTTCAGGGCACAGGAATCCCTGGCTGAATAATCTGAGATCTGCACAGGAGTTCAATGTTTCCTCAAGGTTGCTTGCAGACTAAACAGGGACCCCAGCTCCTACCCTTTGTCATGTCTTGTGGTTGCTGCTCTGCTCTCTCTGGCAGCAGGTATTCTCCTTGTCATCAAAGCTTTCTTTATTACCTTTGCTTTCATCAGGTTACAGAGCAAGGAGATGGTTGGAGATGGGTTTCTGATGCAACGAATTATCTACCTGCTCTGCAGTTTTATCACTGAGTCTCATCTATGTGCCTGGAATGTAGAATCCAACCCATCATCCCTGTCTTCTGATTATTCCTTCAAATATCTCGGAGGAGAATATTTTTGAGCTATTCATGACCCTAGTCCATATTGTTGTTATAAAAACAAAACAAAAAACAAACAAAAAACAAAAACCTAAACTAAATTAGTGAAGAAGCAGATAGAGGTGTGGAAAGGAGACATATTGGAACACATGCAGGGGAATATGTTTGGGACAGAGCTGAGCAGGATAACAATGGAAATGCCAAAGCTATATCAACAGATAGTCCTGGGAGGGGCCTGAAGACACAGAGGGCATAGGCATCTGGAGTCAGACTCTTACATTAGCTGGGTCAGAACTAGAGCCATCAGTGAAGGAGGCAACCATATTCCTAGATAGACATTGGAAAATGAGGGTTCATGACAGGAATTATCCCATAGAGCACGGAGAGTATGTGACTCCAGAAACAAATCTGAGATACACAGGTCACACCCAGAGGGGAAAGCAGTAAGGGATGGTTAGCTAAGATGCCAAGACATGGATGTGTTTGAGATCTTCATTTCAACAGGAACAAGGAGGAGTTGATGGTTCTGAAGATCAAGGAACAAGCTGGGGTAGAGGCACAGGCTGAGGAACTAGAGAAGGGAATCCGCAGCTTCATGTCCAGGTCTGCCCAGCCTTTTGGTTTGTAACATGATACTGTGGTCTACAAATGTAGGGCCACATTCATGGCTGTCCTGTGATGATGTGCAGCCCATAGACACGCCTTTGCAAACAGGCGTGTGTGATCAGTGAAGAGTTGAGCTATCAATTAGCTCCAGGCTCAATTTTGCCCATGAGCTTCTCTGACCTTGGATACTTGTCTTTTGAAGAATGAGACTATATCTTCTTCCTCCCTTTCAGAGGTATGTTTCTTGGGGACCATGCTTAGCACAAGGGAAGATTTAGGAAATGTAATTGTTTAAATAAAGGACTAAGTCAAGAGCTTGTAGAAGCAAAGACCCCAATGAGTGAATTTCTGTGTGTTAAGCAGTGTTCCGTTGCTATGACAACAAAACTTGAGACAATCAACTTAGAGGAAAGTGTAATAGAGACTTAGTGGGGGCTTGGTGTAGGGGTGTGAAGAGGACAAGAGAAAGCAGAGGGGTGAGTGTGATCAGATGTACTATATACATGTGTAAAACTGTCAATTGATGTTTAAGGCTCAATAATAAAATAAAAATGTCCTATGGAAAAGAATCTATATTCTGCATCTGAGAGGATAGCTCTGACATTTGTGATTCTGTGTCTGGTTTGTTTAACTTAACATGATAATATCCATCTTCACCCATTTTTCTAAAAATGAGACAATTTTCTTTATGGCCAAATATAACTCCTTGGCATATGTATTGAATTATATCTATCCATTCATCTGATGGGCAGCTAAACTCAATCTTTTGTGGTAATTCATTTCAACATTGATACCCATTGATTTATCTTGGCTTTTTCTCCCCCTGAAAATCTTGTATTGGGTTAGAAAATGGGATAGTCCATATCAGAGTAAATAACTGTCTGAGTCTATCTGAGACGATTCTTAAGCCAAATATTGATCTCATTGAAACCAGAGATGGGGAAACCTAGAATTTTCTACCACCTACCCACTAGCAATGGTGGTTTCTTTAGTGGTCCTAGGTCAAGTTTCCTAGAGCAGCTTTGTCCATTCAGGTGTAAACATCCCTTGGCCTTTGTCTGCATAAAACTCACAGAGATCTAACTCATCTTGGAGATTTCACATGAGAGAGGAAATAAAGGAACCTAGTTAGCCAGCTTTTCCTCTTCCTTGTGTCTACATAGGCAGCTGGTCTCCTAGAACATGTGCAGGGAGGGCTGGAGACAGGGGTAAGGCAGATGGCCTGTCAGAGGATATGGATGCCACACTATAAAAACCACACAGCATATTTTTTCATGACAGGACTAATTCCTTGACTAAATCTATAGTCTTTAGTTTTAGTAGCTGTGAACATCACTCTGGGGCTGTCAGAAAATTGTGGCTACAACTGGAAAGGCCTGCCTGTCTGGCTTCCTCTCTCTTGAAGAACACACTCAAGGTTCTTTTCAGCAACCTTAAGCTCATGGGGATCAGTGTTCTTTTCACTTTTGGAACTGAGCCCTCCCTCAAGACTTCTCAGTTATTAGACAAAACCTGGGTAGGTCTGACACAGGTTGCATCTGCCCCAGAATTCACCCTTAGCCTGGAATGATTCTGAAGTGACTGAGACACTGACATGGTGCATGAATTTTGTAGTGCTCAGACAATATGAGCATGTAGTGTTACAGAGAAGAAAAAACTCTAGGCAAACTTATAAGAACTAAGTAAATCACAAAGAATTCTGTTCTGAGAGAGATGACCATGCATAGCCTTCTTCTGAGAGATGCATGTGGATAACATAGTCATATTTGTGGAAATGTTGTTTTTAGTGTACAGAATTGATGTAGGAAGATAGATGACATAGCCCATTTTTCTATAAAGGAGTTTTTAAAAAACAGATTTATTTATTCATGTGTCCATGTGAAAGTTTGAGCTTTTGTGTAGGTGTATGTGCACACATGTACATGCATGAGAGCCAGAAGAGGATGTTGGATCCCCTGGAACTAGATTAATAGGCCTTTTCTGATGCCTGCCGTGTTATCTGAGTGCTGGGGTCTAAACTCTCATCCTCATGATTGTTCTTACCCACTGAGCTATCTCTTTAGCCCCCCCCCAGGTTATTTATGTTTTTATTATGTCCATACTTTTTGTTTGATTATGCCTGAATTTCTAGGCAAGCATGCAAGAAAGTAATAGATCAGAATAATACTGACCAGAAATAGATAATTTAGAAGGAGATCAATTAGAATCCTAATGTTTTCTTTGGTAGTTAAGATCATTTTGGACACAATTTCAAGTGTAAAAATTTGATGAAGATGGAGCTGATGGAATTTCTTAGTGGTTAAGAGCACTTACTACTTTTCTAGAGGACTTGAGTTTGGCTCCCAGCACATAAGTCAGGTGGCTCCAAACTCCAGCTCCAGAGGATCTGATGCCTTCTTCTGGACTCTGAGAACACTCATGTGCACATACCCACACCCTGACACACACACATACATATATAATAAAAAAAAACCAATTACAATAGATCTTTAAATATGTTTGAGGGGGTAAATTTGCTTACTTTAAGCATTTGCAGATACTTTATGTTTGTATATTTGTGAGAGGAATTGAAAATGATTTTAGCAAGGAGATAGGCTAAACTTAAATCACATGTAGTGGGAGGTCTAAATACTTCCAGAATATTCTGTCACCCTTTCTTGCTTCTATTTCTCCATGTTTGCTTAATTCTTGACCATAAAAATACAATTCCTATGGATGGTAGGGAATGTGGCCACAATCTGATATGTACATTTCTTAGTTCCCACTGCAACAGGAGATGGCCCATGTTTTATAGTACTGAGGAAAAGATTACAATGATTCCCTTAGACAAGTAGTCCAATCTTAGCCCAGTCAACAATGTTGACAAAATTGAGGTACTTAAGGGTCTCTGGATGGGTTATATCTCTGCTCTGGAACCAACAGCTGTGGTTAGGGAATCAGCCTTGGGGCCTCTGATGGATATAATGAGGAGAGTTCTCACATGAAGAAACAGATCTAGATTGAGATGACATCAGAATGCCTCCCAAGGACACGTGATCTTGTGAATCACTGAGAAGTAGGTGTCAACACTTGACAGGAACAACACACTTTCTCTAAGCCCACTCCTTAAACTTCAGGAAACAAATTTACTTTAATGAGATAAGACTGTTGTTCTAGAATTCTCTTTCAGTGTTTGATCCACTTTTTCCAGTTCTTGTTGTTGAGGAGCAGTCTAGCAACAAAGAGATGTAAGTAATAAACAGTTTCTGCCAAAGCTCCAGCCCCTTTCCTTTGTCTACCCAAATCTTCCCAGGGGCAAATTCATATGAAAAACTCACAGAAGACAAATAATGGATCCTATATTAAAACTTCTTCTTAGGGTTTCTATTGCTGTGAAGAGACACCATGACCATGGCAACTCTTATAAAGGAAAACATTTAGTTGGGGGGGAGGATGTTACAATTTCAGAGGTGTAGTCTATTATCTTCATGGAGGGCCATGGCAGCATGCAGGCAGACATGGTGCTGGAGAAGGAGCTGAGTCCTACATTTTGATCTGCAGGCAATGAACTGGGACACTGGATGTTGCTTGAGCATAGGAGGCCTCAAAGCCAACCCCCACAGTGACACACTTCCTCCAACAAGGCCATAACTATTGCAATAAAACCATACCTCCCAATAGTGCCATTCCCTATGAACTTATGGAGGCCAATTACATTCAAACTACCACAACATCTAATTAACCCGATTGGAGACAAGACAAGAAGAGGTGACAAGGAAAAGAAATTCAAGTATAACTGAGTTTACCTGCCTACCTACAGCAAGGTTAGTGCTAAGCATGATCTCTTAGTTAACTTTGTATTTCATGTGTTACCAGGATGAGTACCTGTGTTCTTCCTTTCCAAGGGAAAATAACATCTCTACAGTGCATAATTATGATAAATAGCACCTTAATTGAGCCATCAATGTTCCATCACCAGTAATGGACAACTCTAAAAGTATGTACCTTCCAATGTTACACACAGACACAGTATTGCCTGTGCAATGTCCTTGCCAAAATGTTCAACCTAGCTCTATTCATGAGAATAAAATCATACAGGCCTCCATTGTGGGGTGTTTTTATTATAAAATGTTAGCTCCTGGAAAAAGACTAAGAATGCAAGAGGACTGTCGTAAGGAGATGGAGTGACAAATTACAGTATGGGTTGTGTTGGTTACTTTTCTATTGCTGTGATAAAATACCATGACCTATGGAACTTGTAGGGAAAAAACCCTTTATTTGAGCTTATAGTTCCAGAGGGTTAGAGTCCATCACCATTTTTATGGGAAGCATAGTAGCTGGCAGGCATTATTGCTTGAACACCATCCTGAGCTCACATCCTCAAACCCAGAGCAGGAAACAGAACAAATTGAGAATAGTATGAAGCTTTTAAAGTTCAGAGCACACCCTCGGTGATGTACCTCCTTCAGCAATGACAGACACTTTAAGCCTTCCCAAACATCACCACCAACTAGGGGACCAAATAGTCAAATGCTAAAGATTATTTGGGACATTTATCTTACATGCAACCACTGCAGGCATCATTTGTTCTAGCATTAAAAAGTCTCCCAGCTGTAAGAGACTGTTCTTCCTTTCATGGCCAGTTAGGGACTTATTAAAATGATTGTGTACTTGATATTACTGTTTAATAAATTTTGAATTTCTGGAGAATAATGTTGATATTTTTGATATATAAAATGTTCAGGTATTTAGATATATTTTCATATATGTAGTGGATTTGTAAGTAATTCAACAGAGATTAATGTGTGGTATGTATGTATCTTAAACAGAGAGAACCATGAAAAAGAAAAAGAAAAAGAAATCATGTATTAGTCAGCTTTCCATTACTGTAAAAAGCAACAGAGACATTTGTTGTAGAATATTATATTAAGGCGTTTTGCTTTTGTTTATGTTGCATTTGTGAAGCTGTGTTACTGTGCCTGTCTAAAACACCTGATAGTCTAATAAAGAAGCGAATGGCCAATAGTAAGGCAGGAGAAGGGGTAGGTGGGGCTGGCAGGCATAGAGGATAAATAGAAGGAAAAAAGGGAGGAGCCAGAGTAGGAGGAGGACATCAGGGACCAGCCACCCAGTTACACAGCAAGCCATGGAGTGGAGTAAGATTTACAGAAGTAAGAGAATGGGAAAAGCCCAGAGACATAAAGGTGATGGGATAATTTAAGGTAAGAAAAGCTCATAAGAAACAAACCAAACTAAGGCAGCTAAGAATAAGCCTCTGTTTGTGATTTATTTGGGAGCTAGGTAGTGAGTTCCCCCAAAGAGCAAAACCAACAATTAAGTT